TGACAAAAATCCATTTCATAAATAATTATTAATTATAGCTCAATGTATATTTAACAGACTATTAAAAATAACTATAAAAATTATATCCCAATGATAAATATCACAGATTACTATCACATTCCAATGATAAAACTCCTTCCTTGGTCCTCATTTCCTGTCACCTCTCATATTAATCTCTTCCTGAGTTCCTTAAATAGGTCTTTGATTTTGGCCACTTGTAAGTCAAGAAATTTTCAAAAAGCCAATCCACCACTTGTAGATGGAAAAGTTTTAGATATGTATTTCTTATTTTTGCTTTGTTTAAAACCCATACTTCCTATTTATATGGGGGGAAAAACTCCATGTTTTGATTATTTGTAATTTTAAAATAAGCCACAGTGACTAGAACCAAATCAAAACAATGGCAATATTAGATGTTTTCTAAAACTATACATGTTCCCCTGGACACTTAAGTAATTTCCCTGGATGGAGCTCAGATTCATGGTTTATATACAGTTTTTTACCCACTGGATCCAGAAGCTTAGTAAAAGTCTACAGCAATGATCTTCAAAATCCTTTCATTTACAGATTCCCCTTATAAATATAAAAATTTTACATAAGCATATATATTTCTATTTTAAAATTTATTTATTTTTTTAAAAGATGACCAGTAAGGGATCTTAACGCTTGACTTGGGTGTTGTCAGCAACATGCTCTCCCAAGTGAGCTAGCCGGCCATCCCTATATAGGGATCCGAACCTGTGGCCTTGGTGTTATCAGCACCACTCTCTCCCAAGTGAGCTAGCCGGCCATCCCTATATAGGGATCCGAACCTGTGGCCTTGGTGTTATCAGCACCACTCTCTCCCAAGTGAGCCACAGGCTGGCCCTTCTATTTTTAAATTTTATGTGTGTTATTTATATGATAAGAGTTCTTAAAGAGATAGGTAAAGTATAAATATTAAAAATTAATTTCTAAATTTCTTCTTAGAGATAAATCATTTAATTTTTCACTAGTAGTGAAAATGATGTGATTTAACACGCTTCATTAAAAAATCACTTAATATGTTATAACAGTGATTCAGAAATCTGATTCTAAGCTTGGGTTTTCAGAAACGTGATTTAACACCTGCTAGTGTTGAAAAAGAGGACTTGTAACTTTCGATATACAGATAACAAAAGTGAGCACATTTTAGGCTGTGCTTACTAATTAAAATAATCATTTATCATTTGCATGGAACAATTATACAAACTTTTGATGAAATTTATCTAATATGTTTACATCTCCTTGGCTGTAAGTCAGTTATTGCTTGCTAATAGGATGGTTTCACCTACTGAAACTCTAGAAGACTTCTGAACAGTTTAGAAAATTCTGTTTCTAAAGTGTACAGATTTGAGTTTTTAGAGGAGACAAATTTACATTGTAAATCTCATCTCCAACTACTCTCTTCCTTGCTTACTCTATGCCAGCAACATCTTCCTGCTATTTTGATATCTTAGGCATACTCTCATTTCCAAACCTTTGGATTTGCTTTTATTATCTGCATGACTTAGCCTCGTTCACTGCCTTCTGGTTTCTGTTCACTGTGTTTTCTGACCACCTCACATAAAATACAATGCTCTTCCCTCCACATAATTCTCTATCCCTTTCCCCAGCTTTATTCATCTCTCAAGTACTTATTCTCACCTGACATATTTTACTTTTTCATAGTCTGTCTCTCTTCACTCAAATGTGATATTCAAGAGAAATGAAAAGTATTATTAGTTCATTGCTGTCTTTCATAGCACCTAGAACAGTGACTGGCACACAGCATGTGATCAATAAATATTTGTTGAAGGAATGGATATAATAATTTAAAGCAATATAATCCATATAGCCTCTGTGTGGCACATTTAAATTGCACTATATTTAAATAGGGCCAAAACTAATGAATGAAAAGTGAGGCTGCCAATCTCAACCCTGATACACTGTGCAACTCCCATTATTTTTGTGAGGATTCTCACATAATCTGTGAGATGTGATTTATACATATACATAAAGAAAAAGGGCACCAAAGTCAAGCTGTATGAGTGGTATAGCTTAGTTTCTAATATTTTTTAGATTAAAATATATAAACAGAAATCCTAATATCTGATTCTCACATCAGGAGATATGCACCTTATATATATGGCTGGCTGGCTAGCTCAGTCGGTTACAGTGTGGTGTTAGAACACCAAGACCGAGGTCAAGGGTTCAGATCCCCATACCCGCCAGCCACCAAAAAAAAAAAAAAAAAAGGAAATATGTACGTTGTATATTTCAGAAACTTTATTCTGGAATACTAATATTCTCCCATCTAGAAACTTGAGGGACCATTCCTCTCCTTATTTGATCACCTCTTCTCATGTAAACTACTTCCTAGTTATTAATACTAATCACTGTTAACCAGCTAAAATAACCATTAAAATTTAATAGATTATCGATGGTTCAGGTCCTTTAAAGAAAAAAAAATACTATATTTGTGTTTATATTTGTAGAATTTAGGCTTCAAGAAGTCCAACTTTTCTTTTGAAAACACACATACTTTAAATTATAAGCACAGCTCACCTTAGTGTAAATGTGTTCTTAAAAAGATGAATACCTATTTTTATAAAGTTAATGGCCATACAATCCCCAGTTCCAAATTATGTTGCCCCAAAATAAAGAATAAAATTAAGAATACAACCAGCAATTAAATATCACACATTACAAATAAGAATTGTAATCTTAGCAAATCTGTAGCTGTATTTTTGGTAATTTTTGTGTGTTCTTTAATAGAAAGGTCTTCTTCTATAAGTGAAAAAGAGAACATAAAGATTGATGTGCCCTAGGTCACTTATTATAGCTCAAGCTGGGTCTGACAGCAGGTCAAGTTCTTTCCACTATTATCAAGAGAAGGATATGGATATTAGCAATGGTACAGTATGAAAAATGGTAAGGGAGCATTCAATGAAATAAGAGCTGAGGCAAAGGACTATGCTCAGTCATTGTGATTTCACAGAAATATCAAATTCCTAGGTCTCCACATGGACAATACTATCTCCTACTTGTTAGCAAATTCCATTACTAGTATCATATGAAAATTCATACAACTTGGTGATTTCACATGAAAACACTGTTTCTTTTCTTTTTCTTTTTTCCCACTTAAGTGTTTAAGCAAACCAAAAGTACAAGAACAGAATGAAGGAGAGGTAAGTAACAGTAGCTCAATGAACAAAAAGTATAATATGACTGCCAAAATCTAAACTATCCTCTGATGATATTAATAGAATGCTTCCAGGACAAAGCAGGTACTTCTCCCTTCTACAAATACCAATCAGTTCTGGCTACCATGCTCAAGGAAAACATAACAGCTCTCACTCAGAAGAAAACAACCAGGATGGTGAAGAGGAGTCAAAGCTATACCCTATAATGGCTTGAGAAAAATAGAAATTTCTTTAGTCTGGAAATTTTCTTAAAAATAGGAAGGGTGTGGGGGATGAGAAAGAGGAAGCAGTCCAACAGAAAAGGAATTAGACTTTCTAATCTAGTTTCTGAGGACAGAACTGGGATCATCAGGTAAAAGTTTTAGAAAGATATATTCTGGCTCACCATGGGGAAGAATATTTTAGCAATCACCCCTAACTGTAAACAGAGCTTCCTTTCTCTGAAAGTAATTCTGGACTACCATTTGGAAGAGGAGAGAAATGTTATATATAAACAATAGACAAGGGCTGGGTAGGTAACAAGTTCAGCCTAGACCTAGAAGATCTCTAAGGTTTTTATACAAATCTTGAAATTTCATGTTTATAGAGGAAAAGGACAAAGACATAAAGAATAATCTCTCACCTTCCTAATAATAGTTCTTTCCAAATCTAGGACCTAGAACTCACCTGTGTTCCGGAGAAAAGTCTTTTTAAGTCCTTACAGGAAGATGACTGTGAAGCAAAAAATATGAAATGGGAGGCTGGGGTTATGGCCTACTTGAATGAACATTCAAGTCTTTTTTTTTTTTTTTTCAATAAGCTCAACTGCAAAGATCTATACTGCTCTTGGTTCCATACAGTTATGTAGAGTAGTCACCTTCAGAGGTCTACAGTGCCTTCATTCCCTTTGGATCCAACCCAAAGGAATAATCTCTCCAGAGAATAAGATAACATGTGTAGTATAATCTTTGACCCTTAACACACACCATAAAAGTATATTAACTTTGAGATAATAAGTTATATACTTTCTACACTGAAAGTTATATACAAAGTTATATACTTTCTAACTGAAAACCATAAACAGCCAATTTCACAAATTACTTATGGGATCTCTTATGATCTCTAAGCTCAAATGATATCTTAGATAAAGGTTATTTATTAATTTTTCACGGAGGGTTTATTTTTTTTCAATTACAAATTTAGAAAGTAATTATAAAGCTATTATTTTTATTTTATTTTTATTTTTTTCCAGTGTTAACACTTTTATTTTTTTTTGTCAATATACAATGTGGTTGATTATTATGACCCATCACCGAAACCTCCCTCCCTCCTCCCTCTCCCCCCTCCCACCCAAGAATGTCCTTTCCATTTGCTTGTTGTAACACCTTCAAAGAAATTGTAGTTGTTATATCTTCTTCCCCCCCCCCCCCGTTTTTGTGTGTGTGTGTGTGTGAGTGAATTTATTTGTGTATTTTTATAAAGATATTATTTTTAGATCTCAATTTTCCTTAACGGAGGTACATCAGCCCTATACAGTCTCTCCCAAACATTTCCACTTTATCCCATGTACTTAACTATTTTCCCCAATCAATTCTTTTTCTTCTGCAGCTTAAAAAAAAATCATGTTCTTTTATGTCTTTCTTGTGTATATACGTTCCTATAAACGCGGTAACTATACAGATGCGGCATATTCCTTTACTGTCAAGTAAAATAAACTCTGAACTAGACGTGTCCTTATTTTCATAACTAAAGAAAGGAGAGAGATATGGCTATAAACAACAGTTAAGAAAGTACATGCAGAACTTTTTATACACATACCTGAACTGTCTGGACTTGCGGAGACTGAATAACTGATGGCTGGGCGGCCTGAATAACTCCATGGACTTGAACTGTCTGCCCATTGGGCAGCTGTACTAAAGTTACGGTGGGAGCAGATGATGTTGCATGAGCTGCTGGCATAGATACCTATAGTGTTAAACATGGAAAAAAATTACCATCACAGATACCTCTTTGGGAGTTCTCACATTTAATATGAAAAAACTTTTTAGAAGCAAAAATATGAACTTTCTGCTAGAAAAGTATTTTACTGATGTGAAAGAAAGTAATGATTACATTTAATATTTCATTTTTTAAAAAATTACAAATGCTCCCCCACCCCCGAATTTTCAATTCTTTCTTCAAATGACAAAAAACAAAAAGCTATTTTAATGTAATGCCAAAATATGTAACACGGACTCCCTCTGAATACTAAATACCACTTTACTTGTATGGTGCTTTATTTTCTCCCCTGCTTTCAAATCCAATTTCTCATTTTTCTCTTTGAAGAACCTGAAGACTGGGGTAATAAGGATTATCTCCATTTTAAAGACAGAAATGACAACTGCTCAAAAAGATTATGTAGTTTATCTGAGGTTAACAGATATTCTAGCTTTGAAGAAACAAAAGTTTTCAGAATATCACATGTTGAATAAGTCATGTTCTAACATCTAATTGCTTCTAAACTTGGGCAAAACTGACCTAGTTAGTCTAGAACAAATACATACCTTACAACATGCAGTTTAATTTTCTCTCTCTCTTTTTTTTTTTAAAAGATGACTGGTAAGGGGATCTTAACCCTTGACTTGGTGTCGTCAGCACCACGCTCACCCAGTGAGCGAACCGGCCATCCCTAAATGGGATCTGAACCCGTGGCCTTGGTGTTATCAGCATCACACTCTCCCGAGTGAGCCATGGGCCGGCCCCTAATTTTCTCTTTTAAACCAATTACAAGTATGCCTCGTCATTAATAAGGAAGTATTACCAGGTATTATAAATTGAAAATTTCTATTCCTCCCCTTCTCAAAATCACTAAACAGTTGGGCCGGCCCGGTGGCGCACTGGATAAGTGCGCCGCTTGGGAAGCGCGGCGGCGCTCCCGCCCGAGGGTTCGGATCCCACAAACAGACCGGTTCCCGCTCACTGGCTGAGCGAGGCGCGGGAGCAACACCGAGGGTTGCAATCCCGTTGCCGGTCCCCGGTCCGGTGCGGGGGCAACACTGAGGGTTGCGCTCCGTTGCCGGACACGGAAAAAGACAAGAAAAAAAAAAAATCACTAAACAGTTAATGTTTTAAGAATTTGTTTTTGTATTGAATTAACAAAGGGGCAGAGTTGAAAGAATGTTAAGAGAAACGAATTTTTCCGTAAGGCACAAAGAAGGCAATTTTAATGAGTTAACATTCAGATTAAAAGGGCCCTTAAGTCATACATGTCTATCAGATGGTATGAATGTACTGCTGAATACATTCAGGGGTAGGCATTTTATTTGCTCATTTGGTATAAACAGTTACTGGAGACCTATGTGCCAGGAACAATGTTAGAACTGAATCTATAAAAATGAGAAAGATATGGTTCTGACCTCAAGGAAATTATTGGGGTGTGTGTGTGAAGGAATGGGGAAAAGAGGCACAAGTAAATACAATTCAGTGGAGTAATGAGGTCTGTAGAAAAAAGGATATACTATGGAGAGCTACCCAACTCAACCTAAGAGCAGGGGAGGCTACCAGGGAAGAATGTGGATTTGAAACATTAATACAAGTTAGACATGTTGTTATTATGATCTGCAGGAGAGAGGCACAGAATTTCAGGCAGAGATGGTAGTTCTGGCAAAAGCAAAGAGAAACAGCATAGTCTACACATGGCAGAGAGGGATAACCAGCAGTTCAATACTACTGGAGCATATAAGTGTGTTACTATATGATGTAGGAAGTAGGGAGGGATAATATAACAGAGGTAGCCTGGGACTAAATGACCTGGTTATTAAAAACCTTGTATATGTCACATTTAAGAACTTGCATTTTATCCTCAAGGTACTGGGGAAGCCACTGAATAACATGGTGAGGTTTCTATTTTAAATAGATCCTATTAGTGGTAGTGTGAAGGATATACATTTTAGGGGGGAAAAAACCTGAAGGTGGAGAGGCCAACTGAAAAAGCCTATGCAGTAAAAGTGAGATGATGAAGGCCAGAAATATGGCAGTAGTAGTAGTAGGAATGGGAAGGAAAGAAGCAATTTTATGAAAATTTAGAAGCAGACCAGGAAGAGCTTTATGAATGATTGGTTGGAGGACATAAGAGAAAAATCAAAGATGATTTTTTCATGAGAGAGAATTGGCAGACTAGATTGTCATCAACTGAAACAGAGAATGCAAGAAGGACAAGCTTTTGGGTGGTTGGGGTCATGGTGGAAGATGATAGAATTGATCTGACAGCTGAATTTACAGAGATATTTAGTAGGCAGTTATATATTTGGTTAGGAATCTTGGGGGAAAAGATCACTACCAAAGACAGAGTATTTGGCACCTAGATTAAAACCATGAGCTTCCATCTTTGCAAGTCCTTAGGAAGTCCTTCCTTATTTATCTGTTTGGCCACTGTAAGTCTTGCTTTGTTTTACCTGGTTCTCAAAATGTGGTTCATGCACTGGAGTCTACCTGCATTGGAGTCACATAGGATGCCCTGTTTAGAAAGTCAGACTCTAAGAAGGACCCAACGATACTTACCTTTAGATTGAATTTTGAGAACCACAACCTTAACGTTATTCAAAGTATCTCATCTCACTTCCATATAAAAGCACTTCTGATATTTGAAGCAATTATTATGTCCCCATCCCTTAGTCTTCCACAGGCTAAATGTAACAAGCTAACTCAATGAATAATCTTTTTTCTACCCTGATCATTCTACGTAACGGCTCCTTCTCATGTTAAGTTTATAAAATACAGATACACAAAAATAAAATAAAAATCCTATTCTGACCACCCAGAACTAATCACTTAATATTTTTCAGTAGATCTAAATGTTTTTTAATGCACACATGTACACTCAACTTTTATAACATGCTATCATGGAACCTATTTTAGCTTTAAAATCCATTATAAATGTTTTCCCACACCATTAAGTCTTCTTCAGTGGTTTTACTGACTGCATAATAGGAAAAATTACATAATATAATAAATTCCTTGTATTGGATATTTAGGTTTTCATTTGCCTATTACAAGAAAGTTACAACAATTATCCTTTTATCTAACTTTTTACTTAAACCTATAAAAATTTGGGCGGGCCCGGTGGCGCACTGCTACAGTGCGCCGCTTGAGAGTGCGGCGGCGCTCCCGCTGAGGGTTCGGATCACACATACAGACCGGTTCCCGCTCACTGGCTGAGCGAGGTGTGGGTGCGACACCGAGGGTTGCGATCCCGTTGCCAGTCCCGGTCCGGGCGCGACACTGAGGGTTGCGATCCGTTGCCAGACACGAAAAAAGACAAAAAGGAAAAAAAAAAAAAAAAAAAAAAAAAACCTATAAAAATTTGCATTCTCATAGACAAAACCAACAGTTTTTTCTTCCACTTTAAAAAATTTCTGTAAATTCCAAAAGTAAAATAAGATATCTCATTATTGGTTTTTTTTTTTTACTTTTTTTTGTCTTTTTTCGTGACCGGCAACGGATCACAACCCTCAGTGTCGCGCCCGCACCGGACCAGGACCGGCAACGGGATCGCAACCCTCGGTGTCACGCCCGCACCTCGCTCAGCCAGTGAGTGGCCGGTCTGTATGTGGGATCCGAACCCTCAGCGGGAGCGCCGCCACACTCCCAAGCGGTGCACTATAGCAGTGCGCCACCGGGCCGGCCCCTCTCATTATTGTTTTAAATAAACTTCCTTCCTTTACTACTTAGGCTGAATTTGTTTTTCCCTGTTCACTGACCAAATCATAATCATCTTGGATTTGCTTGACAATTTTATTACATTTTCCTAGTATTTAAAAATGACATTACAAAGTAACAGAAATCAGAATTATGAGAAAAAATTATGTCAAAAATATATAATGTATGTATTAAAGAACTTGGATTAGCAAGTGAAAAAACTCCATAACTGGGAATAAAAAAAACTAAAAATATATAAATGGGAGTAGATACTAGCTTTCCTAAATCTGAAATCTGATCATGTCACTCCAATTAAGTCTTTAATACCATTGAGTTGCTTAATAAAGATAAAAAATTGAACATAACGTATATAATTTTGATCCCTCTTGAGTCCTCAATTAAACTGCACAAAATTGATTTTGTTTTTAAGGCATAATCGCACAAGTGTAGGAGAATGGAAAAGGAGATAACAGCAATAGAGTTTTGGAGGCTGGAAAGCAGGTAGACAAATGGTAACGAACTGGATAGACCTCAGAAGGCCAACTCATTAGCTTGAGGCAGGGAAAGCCTCATTTGCACCACAAAATCCTCAAGAGGCTCAGGATCTATGGCACCCTAGAAAGTGGAGTGAAAAGAGAGGCTGAAAATAAGGAAGACTGGTTGATGGCTCTTTGATAAGCAATTGGATCTCCTCCTCAACTCCCTGTGGAAAAATCTATCCCACCCTGACAAAAAATTGGAGATTTATTCTCTGGATAAGGGGTATCTTGACTACCTAATAGCAGGCATTGCTGAAGGTGGGCAGTACCAACCCTCTTCTCTCACTTGGCCCCCAGGCCTTTACTCTATAAGCAGGGGACTAGTGAAAGCTTCCCTAGGGAACTTGACCAATGCTGAGGAAAGACCTAAAAGATACTTATATTGGCATCATGACAATCACCCTACAGTGAAGCTCACAGATCATAGCTCTTAGGACCCAAACACATACATGGAGTTTCCAATGCAGCTTTTTGGTCCCCTACTTTTAAACCTAAGCAGACAACCACAAATTACCAAACATTTGAAGAAAGTTTCTAATATGAAAGATAGAGACCAAAACAAATGCACATGCGTGCGTGCGTGCGTGCGTGTGTACACATGGGGAGGGGGAGCTATATGGTGAAAAATCTCTGTGGGGAGAAGAAAACTAAAAACAAAACAAAAAATTCTAATTAACGTTCTCATAGATAAGAGAAAACACTGCCTTTGTGAAACACAAACAGGATGCTATTAAAACACAAAAGGACTACTCAGAGAACAAAAGCAACTCTTGGAAACAGAATAGCAGAAATAAAAAATTCAACAGATGCGTTGGTTGGAATGTGTTGAGGAAATCTCCCAGAAAGCAGAGCAAAAAGGTGGAAAACAGGAAAGATCAGGAAATTAGAGCAACAGTCCTAGAGGTATAACATCTCCCAAGGATCCTAGCGAAAAATGAAAGGAGAGAGGAAAAAAGAAATCATCAATCCAATAATTTAAATTACCTGGAATTGAAGATATGAGTTTCCACTACACAAGGACCCACTGAATACATAGCACAGATAAAAACTGATCCAAACTAATGCCCATGACTCTGAAATTCTGGAGCACTGTGATCAAAGGTAAGATTTTATAAGATACTAGAGATACAAAACAAGAAATAAGTTTAGTTTTTTCAAATAACAACACTAGAAGTTGACTGGATTAATGCTTTCAAAATTCCAAAAAAATGATTTCTTTACCAAGAATTCTTTACCCAGTCAAACCTCCTTTCTCAAGAAACTATTAGAAAACATGCTATACTATATCAAGAACACAAACCCCACAAGAAAAAGACTAGGGTGAAAGCAATTCCCAGAATGACACTATACAGCAGACTTAGAGGACAACCAGACCAGACAGAATAGTGCGACCCAAGAGACAGACATGTTGAGGACTGTCATCACCAAGATGCCTTTTGACATTGTATCTTTTTTTTTTTTACCAGAGGGCAAAATGCCTAAATAAGCCCAGGTTCTTATCTGTGCTTGCTTGCCTTGACCCTGTACTGGTGAAATCCTGGTTCTCTCCCCTTCATTCCTGTAGCCTGCCTCATCTGAGTACATTCACTTCATCTCCAAGTGTATTCGGCTTTGTCGGACTCCTGAGGGCTGAAGGCAGACCCTGGTGATCTTAGGAGAAAACACAGCAGCCCATACCTGACTATATTCCTGCTGGAGATCCAGTATCTGGCCCCTACTTTAGCTCAGCCAGATATCCCAACTATGGTGAGCCCTCTATTTTCCAAAATTCATTTTTGTTCAGTGACTCCTCTAGGAACTTTTAAACTACTGGGGAAACTGAAGCTAAACATACTAGAGTTTGTGCTAGGATTATTTTTTCCTGGAAGTCTTTATCTGAAAAAAAACAGTATCAAACTCTTACCTAGCAGGTTTATATTTGCTATTTGGTTTTTATTTAACTACTTTCTCACTCATATTTATGTAAATAGTTGTTAATAAAATATCTGAGAAAAAATACATGAGAAGAAAAAAATAAGGATGAGAGAGTATACCCTTAAAGATAGGATGTTTAAGACAAAGACAGAAAGAATCAGGAATTATATTTAAAATGTATAGGAAACAAAAACTACTACCATACTTAAAATTTACTTGTGAGTCAATTTATTTGCTTATCTTATTTTTTAGTTTAAACATATATAACTAACCTTAGGCTTTCATATTATCTGCATCCCTATCCCCAAAATAAATCTGTGTGATACAAAAAAAGCAGTTGTCATAGCCAAGGTTTTCTTCTCTTGTTTGAGAGAGCCCATTAATTTACCCATCAGTTAAAAATATAATTATTTCTGGATCATGTCACTACAAATACTGTATTAGTGTTTAACAACACATTTTACTGTTATGTTACTGAATTAATACTATACCATAATTTCTAAACATATGCTAATACTAAGTAAATAGGAATTTTGATATTCTAAGAACATCTCTGCTCATTCTCTGTATATCTGTGTAATAAAAATTAAATTCTCTTGGAAACATATTCCTCTTGAAAAAGACATGGAATCTCTCCACGTATTTTATACCTGGGCTAATGTGGCAATCTGTGGCTGGGCTTGAACTGTCATTTGTTGGTTTTCAGCTTCTGTTACAGCTGCATCTCCACTCTGCTGGTTCTCTGCTCCAGATTCCATGGTCATTTAGTTACCTACAATAATATGGAAGAGTGTTACAAGCACTAAAGTGCTTTGTGCTTCCGTGACTTTAAAGGCAACTTTATAAATATAATGCAGCTGAATAATTGTAAACCTTACCCAAATTTGCTATAAAAAGTTCTGGTCCCTTCAAAAAAGAAAAAAAATCCTCTCTTTTCCCTTGGCTATTTCTTCCCAATGGAATATTATCCCATCTAGGAATGAGAAGGGATTCCTCTCTTCTACGAATCTACCCTACTAAGAAGGACAGGAGTGGCAGCAAAATTATAACTTTTCCAAACTGTACCAATTGGGTACAGAGGGAGGGTAGAGAACAGAAGTGAGCTGATGAGTCTATCAGATATGGTTTTATGGTACCTCCTGTAAGACTATTTCCTTCTATAAGGAGGAAAAAGCTGAGAAATGGTGAGCTACCTCCACAGATTACTGGTGGTAGTACAAAATCAGCCCAAGTTTCAAGAGCTCAAGTTGTGGGATATCAGGGTACAAAGTGGAATGACCACAGAGCCATACTGGGGGCCCCAAAGATGAAAGTTATGGTGTTCTGACTCCTCATCCTCTGTATAATGTGCAACACTATACCACACGCATACATACATATACCTTTAAAATTTTTAATTGTAAAACTCTGGGTAAGTTTATCAAGACAGACCTTTATTATTTTCTCAACTCTACTTTGCTAAGAACTTAGTATATTTGTTGAGTAATCTGGCACCGGAGGGCAGCAAAAGTAAGTGATGAGCAATTCCTAGTAGCAACAGCTACATGGAGGTTAGGGAAATTTTTGCTAACTAGGGAAGCAATCCTGTCTAAACAATTCAGGGAAAAAGGGAATGTTTCTAGTGTCCCACTATTATCATTCAATGCCCAGGATGTGTCCTGTCAAAATGAATTTATTAATAGTGAGGGACTATCTATAGTGATTCCATGAATAATACAAAAACCCCAATGCCTTTCTAGATTATGTTACATTTATTTCATAAATCTAAAATTGATAATCTAAACGGTCACTGATCATTACATGATAATTACGCACCACCAAAATGTATTACATCAACAATGTATTCACATCTTGCTATCATTCACAGGGTTCTATAAAAAGAAAGTGTTTTATAAGAGACAGTTAAAAATGGAAGTGAAAATGAATATAAATAGTTTAGAAACACCAGAGTCCACAAAACACAGATGACAAAGGAAAAGATCAATAGACTTTACTACATTATTACTTAAAACACTCATATAGTCACCAAGACAAGTGCATTGGGAGAAAATATCTGCCACATATAATCAACACAATAACATCCAAAATACAAAACAACTACCAGTCAATAAGAAAATCTTATTATTGACTAGTTCACAAAAATATAGTTAAAGGTATCCACTGCAGAATATTTTTTTTTTTTGGTCGTTGACCTTGGTGTTACAAGGCTGAACTCTAACCTACTAAGCTAAGTGGCCAACTCAAGAATTTTTTTATAATAGCGAAAACCTGGAAACAAATATCCATCATTAGGAAGATCACTTAAAAAATTACAGCAATGAAAAGAATGAAGTCCATCTATAATGTAATGACACATTATAAAATAGGATCCCATTTATGTTAAAAAAATAAATGTTTACTTAAAACAAATTGTAAAAATATATGCATGGAAAAGGTATGAGAAGTTAACATTAAACGGTAAGCAGCAGCTCTTAAGAGAGGAATAGGATTTGGTAGAATTGTACAGGATGATAACTTTCATCTTTTTACTCTTTACATAGTTCAGTATTTTAGTATGATTGAGGTTTTTTTTCCCTGTGAGCATGGATTCTGGTTTACTTGTACAATTTAAAAAAACTTTATTGTCGGTAGTCATGTATAACATTTTAAAACTATGAACCAAAACTACGCTCATTTACAAAAGTTTTTCAAATCCCAGATACTTTTTATATGGAATTACTGGGGTTTTTTGTTTAGATTTTGTCTAAATTGTTTATCCTATTATTTCCAAACAGTAAAAAATAACAATTAAAAAAACCATCAAGGGCCGAGCCTGTGGCGCACTCGGGAGAGTGCAGCGCTGGGAGCGCAGCAGCGCTCCCGCCCGCGGGTTCGGATCCTATATAGAGATGGCTGGTGCACTCACAGTGCTCACTGGCTGAGCGCAGTGCAGCCAGTCTCAAAAAGGACAAAAAATAAACAAACAAACAAACAAAGAAAAAAAACGCACCAAATAACTTTGTTTATTATCACTTGTCATAATTCATTGAGTTGTATACAATAATCTGTATTCTTTTTGATTAAAATATTTAAAAAAGACATCAAACATAACAGAAAACAACAAAGAAAACAGTTTACGTATCCTAAAAGTTATCCATACTTTGGGTCTGGAAGAAAATGGCATGTGAAAGCAAAAAACCTATCTCAATAACAATAAAATGAATCCATTCAAGGACAGTACTGAGTCAAGCTAAATAAGAGTAGACCTCCACAAATTTTTCTCCATTTTCTCCCCTAAATCATTTTAACTAGAATGAAGATAAATACAAATTTATTTATCACACGTAGTTTCACTCTACCATTTTTTTTTTCCTTTTTGTCTTTTTTCGTGTGCCGCACTCAACTGAGTGCGCCACCGGGCCAGCCCTCTACCATTTGATTAAAAGCAATCTAAGGCACGGATTGATCATAGTTATCTTATTTTTGTTTATGTTACAACATATTAAGACAACTTAACTTTATTTTTTTTAACATTTCAGATATAGGGCATCATCACAACTTTTTGTTTCAGTAAATAAAATATTTATTACTATGTTATAAAAAAGGAACAAAGCCATTAGCTAATATAAGTAATTATAGCTGCAAAGACATACTCAAAACAGGAATGCAATTTTCATTCTTCTTCCCTTCCCAACTGAATAATATTCTTTATTTTTAAAACAGAGTGTGGCATTTCCATTGATAGACCCCATCTAAACTGCCTGTGTTTTATTTTCATTTCATTCAGGTGGCCTACAACAGCCTTCTTAATTTTCATAACTCTTAGTTTGAGTAGATACCAACCACTTGGGCAACAGTACAAATAGTCTTTCATCAGGAAAGACCTTTCTCAAAGTGCTGGTGAGAATTATTTATGGAAGAATGATGGTTTCAGATGAGAAACTCATTAACCCAACTAAAACATACACTCTTCTTTTGGTTTTCACTAAAGGTATAGAAATAGTCTCCCAACTGGACTAAACTATCATTTAAAGAGGATATAATTATTTTGGACTTTAAAAGCTTTTGTTCTTTTTGTTTATATCCTCAGGTGTGGAAAGAAGAGATAGTAGAGTATCATGAATAGAATCTTCACTTTTTCTACTAACCCAGTATTGGTCTAGCCATCAGTGTCATATCTAGACACAGGATTTGACATTAGAGCTAATACGTGGGTTTCCAAAGTTGTCTGAAGAAAGGGGATTCCTAATTTACTAAAAAATGTAAGTTTTTTGTAAAAGAAAAAAAAAAAGACAATAATACTATAAAATAAGAAAAATACGAGGTATATATGAACTCAGAATGTTGCATGAATATTGAGCCTGGAATATTATAAACAGGCTGGATCTAAAAAAATCACAATATAGTATCAGCTCAACAGTTTTGTGATTCTTGCTCTTCCAATAATTCTAAATTTTAAAAGTTATTTGGGATTGATGTTTCAGATTTGGGGATTTTCATGATTTATCATTAAACATTAACACACCACCTATCCGTTGAAAACTATGAACTTATAACAAATTTCAAAATAGTGCCATGTGTAAAAGAAACAATTTTTAAAACTAATTCACAAAGTTACATACCATTTTGCTATAATGGTCTTCAGAATTCTATCTCTTAATATGAAAAATAAAAAGCTAAGTGAATTTGTGGTCATCCCATTTTGAGAGAAACAAAGAATACTTCTAAGTAGTTGGGGAAGGCAGCTTAATTCTTGGTGAAAAACTGGATTTGTCACCAAGTGGCACTGTTACCAAGTGGTTGTAGAACAAATTAAAGGTTTTGTGTTTCAGCTTCCTCAACTGTAAAAACAAAAGGGATGGACTAAAAGATCTCTTCTAATTTAAAATTTTCTGATCCTAGGAACTGAGACCACAAAAAGACTTATGCACACACATAACTATAAAATCGGCAAAATAAAATAATATTTATGGTAAAGAAAGCATTTCCTTTTACTCTACACTAATATATATAGTAAAGACAGATCAAATAAGAACAGGTCACCTAGCCTCTTGATCTTGGGTGAATAGAGATATTACCATTCATTTATATTTATCACAAAAATGCAATACAACTTGAGCAGTTACTACATTAGCAGTATTTTTAAAAAATGCTACAAGACCAGACAATAAAATGAAGATTCTCTCTTTCACACAGTGAACACTGTCTCATACACATTATGTTGCTCTGGTCATAATGTTGTTATAGTTATTAAATAGTTCAATAGTTCCTTTTCTTAATTTTCAAAGAGGATAAAGTAGTTTTTCCTTTCCATCTTAGAAAGCTTCAAGAAAATTATTTGATTAGGTTTTCTAATATTAAAGGGCTGTATCACTTTTGTACCCTTTGCACAGTAAAGATAATAGCAGATATTAAAAAGTTAAAATGCAGTTTGGGTACACATACCACTAAAGTGTTAAATGAGTGCTTCCATAACATTTAAAAGAGAGTATGTTCTGTAATATTCAGGAGAGTGGTAGAATTCTAAAGAGATGTTAAGTATTGATAAATTTGGGGAAGAGTACTTTTCTGATAAGAAAAATGGTATGGGCAAAGGCTTGAACTATATGCCTTCAGAGAAATAAGTGAGTTAGTGGCTGGTGTCAGACTTTGCTTAGAAAGCAAGGAAAAAAGACAGATGATGACACAAAATGATTACTCTGAAGCAAATGGAACTACTGGGGAAAAATGAGAGTGAGAATAATGTCTCTTAAAGTAAGTTACTAGGTCTAGAATTTTTATAATGCAATGTACT